TTTAAAAGATAAGTACAAAAAAAGAAATAAGCTTAATTCTATTATGGTTTTTATTCAAAAATAAAAAATAGAATAATACCAAAAATAAGACCTTGGATAGAAAAGAGTTTGTTCTACAAGATTCTATGACACGATACGAGTACATATGTGTTTATACAACTTGTTAATTGAATCATTTGTTATAATTATTGAGATTTCTTTTGATTAATCAATATCGTTAAGGTGTTTTTGTAATAATATGTATAAAAAATTTCATTGCTAAATGATATTTTTGGTAGACTGAATACGATATTCTGTAGAAAATTAAGCAATCAAGATAATGACTAGGCATTTCTTATTGCACCTGTACAAATAATTATTTTATGCTATAAAAAACGATTTTTATCGTAATATTCTATTCTAAAGAAAAGAACGTTTTTTCTTTACAGAAGTCAAATTTTTTGTTTGAAGTTATGACTGAATAATATTTCAATATTCATAAATGAAATTCAAAGTAATGATTATCATATAACTTCGTTGATATCAATCTTTGTGGATTAATTCTTGCTCTTTTTTTTGTGCATTGTGTTAACGATTTTGAGCGAGACAAAAATCGCATGTGAGACACTGAAGATTCGCATGACCGAATTGTCGCATGTTTATCTTCAACGGGCGACATTGTCTATCTATTCGAAACGATTCGAAACGATTCGAATACTTGAATGGCGCACAAGAAAAAAATGAATATACAAAAAATAGATATTTATCAATTCATCTGCTATGCTATGCTCATTGATCATATAAGTACTGTAGGTGGCAAGGATAACGTTATTAAGAAAAAAATTATTGAGATAGCGTGTCTCTCAAATGTAGTTTTTCTTTTATTTATTTTTGTCTTAAATCAAAACTCATTCGACTATTCGATTGAATAAGAAAATAAGTTTGAATAAATATCAATACTTATTTTTATAAATATATATAAATATACAGTATTGATTGTAATTAAACACCACACTCATATTGTTTATTGAAGCGTAAACCAATGTATATAAGAGGGTCTATAGTGCACATTGTTTCATTTTATGCTAACGAATATGAGTGACCTGTCTTATTTTTCTATCAGTATACAGATATTTGAGATTTTCTGTTCTATACAAAAATATTTAATTACGTATGTAATAGTCCACTACAGATAGAAAAATATTGTCTTGAATCGTTTTTTTTTGTGTGTGGTTCTTTTTAAATAAAATACAGATCTATGTTGTTTTTATTTACAGAATAAAAAATGGTTCGCTGGCTTTTTAATGATCTATGGCGAGGACAAACTATACCATGGCTTATGCCGCCACCTCCACAACTTGTTTACAGTAACAATAATTCTCCTATGAATTCATTTTTGGATTATACTTATCCAGTTGTTGATCGATTAGTAAGATATTTTTTTTTCTTAATTAACTTCTATTATAATATTCTTTTCTATAGTCACGAACGTTTACTGGTGATAGCATATTTGACTTTTATCGCTTTCAGTCAAATCGTGCTTCAGTTATTGAAAACTCAATGAAGAAATCGAAGAGAACAGCAAACACATTCAATCGTGATTATCAACTATTTTGTTGTCTCGGTAAAGGAGGTTTTGGTCAAGTTTATGATGGACGACGAAAATCAGACAATAGTTCTGTTATTGTGAAAATCTTACCAAAAGATCGTATTCTTAATTGGGGAATATTTCAAGGCGTATGTAATTCAACATTGAAGAATATCAAAACGAAATGAATATTTTTCTTTTTCTTTTTTGTAAATAGAGACGTGTTCCATATGAAATTGAAGTTCTTTGGCGTCTTCGTGGTTTACCTGGCATTATAAATATATATGATCATGTTGAGTAAATAGATCGTTATATATTTATAATGGAAAAAATTCCAAATTCATGTACACTTTTTAGTTTTGTTATGGAATGTCCTCCATTAGCTAACACAGAAGTATTAAGACATATATTTCGAGAAATGATTCGTATTAATATGTCATTACAAAGTTATGGCGTTTGGCACCGTGATTGTAAACCTGAAAATATACTTTACTGTAGAAATGATCGATCATTGCGTTTTATTGATTTTGGTTCAGCTGCACCTGCAAATCATGGAGATTTTCATGAATTTCAAGTTTGTTTTATAATTTTTTCTATTGAAAATGTATTAATTTTCATTGCTTTGTTTTTTGTGTTTCTTCAAGGGTACATTAGAAATAATGACACCTGAATGGATATTAGAAAGACATTATGACGGTGAACAAGCATGTGTATGGACGTTAGGCGTTTGCCTTTATTTTTTACTTTTTCAACAATATCCATTTCGTTCAAAAGCTGAAATTGTTGATGGTCGATCAAATTTACCATTTTCGAGTTCGACAGATAAAGAAGCATATCAAACAATGAAACAATGTTTAAATAAAAGTGGATATCGTCGTCCAAAATTAAATAGTCTTCTATATTTATCATGGCTTCAATAAACATATTAATTGAATGATTATTAGGAAGAAATAAATTAATATACCTTAGCACAAATTTATATTGTAGATTTTCGTTAAAGACGAAATCAACAGTCAACTGAAAACGAAATATATTTTTTTTTTGTTATTAATTTAATCTTTTTGTTTTATTCTATTTTTATACATGCGCAAAAATCAAAAAATATCATGTATATTCATTGTCAATTATAGGAATATCAGATCTAGGAAAAATTGACAATAATTTTTTATTTGATAAATTCATAAGGATATATATATATATATATATCCTTTATTTTTCTCAATATAGATTGCGTCACATTTACTGTCTTTCATTAATAAAATAATCAATAGGTTTATTTAAAATAAAAATAAAAAAAATGATGATTTTAATCAATTTTATTTATTGTCATTTAAACTTGAAATACACAAAAGCATAATCAAACAAGTGTGCCAGTACAACTAGTTCCATGACAATCACTAGTTGGATATGTATCCGGAATAATTTGTGTTTCAGTTGTAAGTTCAAGTGCTGTACCATCTGGGCCAGGAAAGTTTGCTTGAATAAAGAAAGCTTCCCAACCATACAAAGGATTTGAAATAGTTAGTGAATAGACAATGGTTGTAGGAGTTTGTGCCTGAATAATTTTTTGAGAAATATATGTAAAATTATCAGATACAAGACAAATATAGTTTACCTCAATTATAACATTATTTTTTAACCAAATAACAGGATTTGCAATAGCTTTGCCGGGATGATTTGGGTCCGCAATGACAAGACGAAAATCACGTCTATTAGAATAGATAGAAAGATTTTCAATGAATTCAAATCATTGTTATTTATTTATCTACCGTTTATCATTAAGTGTACGAGCATGATAACCAAGAACATTGATTGGTTGAGGACCAACACTGAAATCTACAACAGCACGAATATAACCATGTGTATTGTTTGATGTCTTTGTCCATTTAAATGATGGTAATGGTCGATTCTTAAGATAAGAAGAAATGAATTAAAAGAAAAATATAGAGAATTAACTTACATCATAGACACTTAAATAGAAACTTCGCATTGTAAAAAAGAGACTAATTTCATGACCAGCACATGAATGTTCAGCATTTGGTATTCGTCTTTTAATTTGTATAGAAGAATATTCAAAATTTAATTCAAAACTCAAATTACCTTAAAAATGAACCACCAGTAGCTACTTGTAAATCGTTCCAAAATGCATCCTAGAAATAATTCAATACGATAATATAAGTTTTCTTTTTTGTCTTTTTATCAATCATTATACTTCATTGTCTGGTAGAAAAAATTCATCACCACCTGTTTGTATTTGTAATAATTTCACGTTTCGATATCGGTCAAAATAACCTAGATATATAAATCTATCCATATCAAACAATAAATATGATTAATGATTATTTACTATACGGATCAATAATATCTCCCATCTTATTTAAATTTGGATTATCAACGTCTTGAGTAATATTTAAATCATAATAATCATTAAATGCAAAAGTCCAACCAGCTAAAGACTATAGGATGAATTTAATACCATGTATTATCTTTATTCATCATTTAATACACTTACTCGATAATGATGATGCATATTCTATAATTAAAACAAAAAAAGCTGTTAACATAATATCTCTGGAAATAACAAGGAGTATTTTACTAAAACTAACTTTCTAGAGATTCTGTCAAGTCTCAACACAAAAGTTTTTTTCTTACCGTCATCTAGAGATTCTGACGAAAGATTTTTATTATTCAAAATTGGTTTTGAATTGTTTTATAAGATCATTTTTTGTACTTCGTCACTTCGCTAATGAAAAGTAAGTAAATTTTTTTGTGTTCAAATTACTAACGCTAATTCTTTACTGACTACTTCTCTTAACAAGTCTCTAGTGCTGATTTTTTCAAAGTATTCAAACTAACTGAAAATATAAAAATTAGCTTTAGAAAAATTTCTTATCTCGAGATACACATTTTTTTTTATTTTGTGAAGTTATGTCAATAACGAATGATTTGACCCATATTATAACGAAACGTTATTGATATACGGTCGTCATCTGTGATGAATCGTTTCTAACGTGTCTGCCATAGCCTATAGAGAGGGTGCTAATCTGAGATTCTAAGTCTTCGCCGATATTATTCGAGTACTTATTAGGTTATTTACTTTTTGAAGATTGAGTATATCCATAACAATCGGTATTGCTGCAACAACACGTTCATTATCGACTGCCGCCGTAGTCCAAGCTGAATTTTTTATCAATAAAAGAAAACAAAAGTAAATTAAATCAAAACTACTTACTTGTCCATCCACGCTATAATTTAGAAAAAAGATCATGATAAACATAACATAAAAACTTAAAAATCTATTTACTTTTGAAGCACCACCAACAACAAATTTTTTTGGTACAGGAGCACCTAATTTATCTGCAAATTGTTGAACGGCATCCATAGCTCTAACCGATGCCTAAAACGAATATAAACTATTTCAATTCAAAAGAATTTAAAAAAAAAATATTTGTACTTTAGTCATTGGCATACGAAGAAGTATATAAGGATTATTTGGATTTTCAATAAATGCTTTCCATGTCCATGCAATAAGGCCATCTTCACTACGACTTCTATTTGATGGATCAGCCTATAAAATATAAAGTCCATTGTTTTTATCAAAAAATCATATTAACAATTAAAATTACTAGAAAACGAAATGGTTCATTAGGTATATCTGCCAAATAAACCCCTAAGCTTCCAGCACTAATAGCAAACATTGATGTTAAAGAAAGTAAATTATCTTGTGGTTTAGGTATTCTAAAATAAAATTAAAAATTTGATTTATTCAATAAATATTTATAATACTTACGAATCACTATTATGACCACCATCAATAAACATAAAAGCACTATTTGGTCGTGTAAATTTATGTGGAACACTAATACACAAATAGTGCCACCAAATGGGATGATCCGTGAATGTTTCTACGCAAGATATAATTAAAGAAAGTTATCTATTGATGAGAAAATCAAAGCCAAATGTCTTACCATCGAGCCATTTTTGTGATGTAAAATTCAAAATATATAAAATATAATCAGGTTGTTCATAAGTTCGAATTACAGTCCAGCCAAAATGTGGATCAGCTGCATGAACATAATCATCCAGCGGAGTTGATTCACTTTTACCAATAAACAACAAGGCAATGATAACGAAACCGAAAAGTCCAACTATGGATCTCATATGCTGCATCCTTGTAAAAATAACTGATATACCTCTAACACAAAAAAAAACAAGAATGTAAAAGTGGTTTCTTTTTACTTTCGCTTTATAAACGATACCTTTTTAATGTCTTTTTCTTGCTTTTGTTGACATTATTGTGATAACGCTTTTTACACAATATCCAAGGGCTCTGAGACAGATGAAGTTATACGCAAATATAAACATCTTGTCATAAGAAAGTTTTAGTCAATAATAGAAATTCAATGAATATGATAATTTATTTCACTTCAGTCATTTTTCAAATGAATATAAATTTATTTTCATTAAGAATACAAATACTAATCATAGCCAATCTGCTAAATCTATTTTTAGACTATTCGTTATTAAAATGCATAAACAATCTTTGACATACAAAGTACGATTCAGATTTCAGTGCTCAAAGATACTGTATAATTGTATAATCATTATTTTTATGAAATCGAGTCTTATGAAATTTATTCATATCTGTATATTAGGAATCATTTGTTGTAGGTTAAAAGTCCGTTCGAAATGACCCATAGTACAGATATTAGTAGTACTGAAAACTATCATTTCCAATATTGAAAGATAATTTTCAGCATTTTAAGCTTATATTCAAACATATAATTAAAGAATATGATGAAATCATCAGAAAATTTTAAAAATGCTTGTTAGCACAGCTCTTCTGAGATTAATATGTGGAACGCACATGCGTTCTTTAGCAATCATTATACTATTAGAGAATAGGTGAAGTAAATAATCTCTAATAGAGTATAGTTGTTTTTCGAATAATAATCGATCATTTGAGAAACAATCTGTCTTTTTTTACTTGCGCTCTATTTTCCATTTGTCTTATTTTCTCGTTTTCGTATTCTGTTTTCCTTAATTTAACATTATTATTATTATTCTAACTATTGATTTAACTGTTACTATACATATCTATTACACCCATACCGAGATTTCAACACACTAGTATATATCTCGATAAGCTCACAAATATTAATATTGATTCATAACTTGATCAATTCACGCTTTTTATGTTTATTATATGATAACTATGGCAAATCAATGCATGACTACCCATCATCGATTCAGTTCGCAGTTTAGAAAAATCTGAACCGATCTCATCTCTGTTTGATATCTTGAATATAAATATTTTTCTTCGTAAAAATCAAAAACTACACAATTTAGAACTTTCACAAATGTATTCCAACCATTCAAGCAAAACTTTGTGCTTGTGGTACAGAACTTTTTTTATGCTTGGCACAAAATCAAGAAAAGGTTGCGAGTTTATATCTGCATGAAGAACCTTTTTCAGGTTCGAGATCAGAAATTTTTTTAGAGTGTATGAAGATGGATAGAGAAGCCTTACGACCTTGACTGAAAACTTAAACTTATTATATTTTTTCTGCGAAAAACATAATGTGAGTTCCACAAAAAATATGTATAGTATGATTTTCCTGCTTTTGAATTACTTATGATCATATAAGCCATTATTGTCATTCTAAGTTTAGTACAACACTAATAGATATTGTTAAGATTTCCGTAGAGATTCATTTCCTTGAAAATTTAATTTTAAAATTTCAATAAATAAACTCTTGATTGAACAAAAAACGAATTAGAAATAAAACTAGAGAAAGTAAAAAATGAATATCTACAAATCAATTAATTAATCATAGTTTCCTGTCGAAAAAAAATTAAGCAAAAATTATTCTATATGACACACGAATTATTAAAAACACCAATCCATATAAAAGAAAATATTACATAAAATTTACTTAATATGATAATAAATAGTTTTAATAAAGTTTATTTTTATTTTTCCCAAAAAAAAAACAAATGAAACAAGAAATAAACATATACTGATATTCACCACAATTCTGTTTTTCTTTTAATTTTCGAATTTGACAAGCAAACAACATTGAGAAAGTTGAAGAAGAAAAAAAAATCAATTCATACATAGTTGTCAAAAACCTAGAAGAAGTGGAATTAAAAGCAGAAAACACATTGCGTGTAGATGAATGAATAAAGCACAAAATTAGATGATTCATCACCGGTCTGTATCGATAGAAGATTCACTAAGATTCATTTGGTTCATCTTTAACAATAGCTGATGTAGAATTTGTTCCAAAGTTATGTTCATTTTTTGTTTGTTCATTATTATTATTATTGTTCAATGTTTGTTTTGTTGTTAACGGATTCATAGCTGCTTCCATAGCTTGTAGAAATTTTGCAGCTGATTCTGGATCAGTCGGTAAAGAAAGTGGTGATTGACCTTGTTGTTGTTGTTGCTGAAGCATAGGTGAAAGCCAAGTAGCTTGTGATGCTAAGTAATACGACCAAGCTAATAAAAATCGATAGTCAGGAGTTGCAGGTACTCGTGAATTGTTTGATGGGGGAGTAGACGATGAACATTTTGTTGGTTGAGAAACTGGTAATGGAGTTGAAAGAACAGGAGGAGGAGGAGGAGGAGGAGGAGGAGGGGATGAGCGTTCACGTTGAATAGGACGTTCAATTAAAATATCCATTTTATTCGATTGATTATTTACTGATTTTCCATTGCGGTTTGGAACTTTAACACGACGAGTATCAACTAATTTAAATTGATTTTTTTCTTCTTCTTTCTTGGCTCGATTAACATAATATTTAGTAACATCAGCTTTATTTTGAATGAAATTACGTGCCATACCAGCATGTTTATATTTGATATGATAAGTAGCAGCATAACGTGTAAAAATTTCTTCACCACAATAACCACATCTAAAAACAAATACGAACAATATTATTAAAACAAGGTTGTCTTACATTGCCGTATGCAAGGATAATCTCATTAGTCATGTATTATTTTGAATGAAGTCAGTGTTTTATTTAGCATAAGAGCCGAGGGCGACGATGCTCCTCCGAAGACTCGTTTGATCCTTTGTGATTGTTGAAACATGTACGATGTGTCTGTTCTTCCAAAAATAGGTGTTCGCCCTCCCGAAAGAAAAAATTCGGATAAAATACTGAACAAAGTTTATAAAAATCGATGAGTATTTGTCCTCAAATTCAATCTTTCATGGGTAGTACAAGATCAACTTTTTAGGAGCAGTAATAAAGTTTTGAATCAGTCTATTTTGTCTTACTATCCCTAATAGTGGACATTCCAATAGCAAACCCTTCTATCACTTAAATTTAGTTTTTTTCTCAAAGATATGATATATGGGAACTTGAGTATTAAGTCGCCTGATAGTACATTACGAGGTTCAAATTAATATAAAATTTTTTATTGAAAAACCAAGATTTGCTCAACACTATTTAGAACAACACCCAAATTCTTTTGTGATTATCTTTCGTTCACTGACTATTGTAGTTCCACCTTGATATTCATGTAAAAGATTGTTTGAAATTTGAACAATTATTTTTTCTTGAAAAAATTACAGATGAAACAATCAGCTAGAAAAATGGAGGTGCTATCCCTTTCAAATTGTTTAACTATTTAATGTTAGCAGCTAATTAATTTCTTCTCAGAAAGTGTGTTTTCTTTTCAGATACTTTTTTTAAATATTTTGTTAAAAAAGTAAACAACGACAAATAACGAACACTAAAAGTTATTCCAACCGGAACTAAAGATTCTAGTTAAATATTCTATAGTTTAAAGCGATCTATCTTACAAATCATCAATCAGAACATAATTCGAGAGCGAGATGATCAAAACAAAAATATTAGTCATCGACTAAGTATATCAAAAAAGCGTATTGAATAATGATGTGATATGAAGAAACTCTGAAATACCTTTCTCTATACCGGAAACGAGGTCGAAAAACCATGATCTCGCAATCTCTATTGTTCACTCATTACATATTAATTAATCAGACTCCAATTTTTTTTAATTAACGTCGTTAAGTATCATATAGTCAATCTCAAACAGGTGGGGACCGATTTACGATTACGCTATTGGTGTCCTAATCCAGCGGTACACTTACTGCCGTAGGAGTAAGAGTTTCAAATAATCGAAATGCCGATTTTCAAAAACCTGATGAAATATCAAGAAATTTTCTAAAAATATTTTACAGTATGATAATCTTGAAGATGCGGATAGATCATCTCTTCAGTCATACCTATACCCTCATAATACGGATGGCACTGTAAGAGACTGACAGTCTGTGTGCTATCGCAGATTATCACAGCATCATAAGAGATGTGTGCAATGATAAACCGAAATATGACTCTAGAATTTTTTTGTATTTGTTTTATAAAAATATTTCTTTGTTTTTTTTTTGTACAATAGAATTTCACATACACGTGCCATATATATTTATCTTTCTATGTACAAAATTGATTTCCTTTGTAAGATCAAACAATTTTCTTTTATAAAAAATATAACTAATAAATGAACAAATGGAGCCGGATATTTATATTTATTTTAAGAATATACACTCAAGAACAAAACGACAGTCAATCGTCTGAAAAAGATCAAAGTAACTCACTTGTATGGCTTTTCATTTGTATGTACAAATACGTGATCTTCCATACTTGGTCGATGATTTGTTGTATATGTACATAATTTACATGCATACCTGTTTATTGAATAAAATGTTATATTAATAGTGAAGACTTATAAGAAAAAAGCATTTTTACTTACTGTTTATCAGGTTCATATAGTGAACCATAATACTGTTTAGGACGATTGTAAACAAGTAGATATTCTGAATCATCTAAAGAAGAAAATAATAAAGAATGTTTTTTTGAAAAAATTTCTAACCATCAGAATCTGATTCTTTTGTAACAGATTTTGATAATGAATCCATTGTAGGGGTTAGTGGTGGTGAAAATTTTAATTTAAGTGTCGGTGATGATTCAAAAGGATTTGATTCTGTTAATTGTTCATTATCATCATCAAGAATATCCGATGTTGGTAATAGAATAGATTCAAAATTATCTGTTCCATATACTTCATCACTTTCTGGTGATAATTCATTTCCATCATCAATTATTGTTTTTAATGATATAGCTACACCATTAATTGGTGCTGATTCACTATCATATTGATTTAATGAATGACGTTGTTTTTTAATTTGTGGTTCTTGAATTTTCGTTATGTCTGAACTATTTAAATCTCGATAAAAATCTTGTTCACGTACACGATTTTCAATTATTTTAACTTCCATATTTGGATGACAAAGTTCAATATGTACCATAATTGTTGATTTTGTTGTCGATTTATGACCACAGTATGCACATGCATATGGTGTTAAATCCGTATGACGATAAATATGATTTTGCATTAATGATGTTGATGGTGCTTTATAATCACAATGTTTACATTGAAAACGTAATGGACGTTTATTTGTTTGTTGACCTTTAGTCGTTGTCGTTGTTGTTGTTGTTGTTGATGATGATGATGATGATAAAAAGGATGTATTTAAATCTAACACTCGTTTACCATTCTTTGGTGAAATAACTGATGATGAAGAAGAGGAAGAAGATGTTGTTGACGATGGGGGTGAAAGTAATACAGGTAAACCTTTTTTCATACTCAAATCAAGTACTTCATTACCATTATCATTTCCATCTTCATCATCTGTTATACTTTGATTCATCATGATGATCTAGAATATAACGTACTTTTGTTAATAATCAATTTAAACGTATACAAACTATAAAAGAATAATATCGCATATTCTCCGCCTTCGTCTTTTTTTTTTGTACTACCATAATCTACTACCTATGCCACTCTGTATGCAAGCCTTTTTTTTTATTATATTCATGTGTGTGTTTTGTTTACTCAGTTTAGCAAACAAGACCTGACGCTTTCTTCTCTTTCTTCTTTTTTTTTCCTACTTACAGTTGAGACTCTTGCTGATTTATATCGATATATAAATATATACAGGTTTAGTTCTGTTCTTCCATATATAGATCGATTTCAAAGCATGTAAAAATTTTGAATCGCAAATGCGCTTAAGCGAGAGAGAGAGAGAGAGAGAGAAAGAGAGAACACTTTTTTTGAACGATAATGTGAATAAACAAATCTGTCAATGTTTATATAAGTAAATATTGAACAATTGCTAATAAACATCATCTAACGAAATATTTTACCTTTGAATTAGTGCGAATTAGATGACAAAGAATAGGTAATAACACTGAGTAAATAAACTCTTGAAGACGATAATTGTTGAATGCGTTTGACTAATACATATATGAAGGGTGTTTACATAATATTATCAGATTTATAAATGTTAATAAAAGTTCGTTCTTTTCTTTTTATTGTTTTGTTTTAAAAAAAAAATCTACCAATAAAAAAGAGCATTGTTGTTGCTTATTTATTTATAAATCCTGATGAAAGAATATACAACACAGAAAAGCAGTACCAGCAGGTTTTGTTTATTTCCAATAACACATACGCTGGGCGTGTGCAAACGTTATCTAATGCATCGTCTTTGCTTTTTTTTTGATTAAAAAAAATTCAGCCACAAAATACTTATCAAAGAAGTTCAGGTTGAAATAACAGATAGAAAACTTTTCAAATAACATACCTGTGTCGGCTATTTACTAATCGAATACTGCCGTCGTCTTTCTTTTTTTTTTGCTCGGTATTATTGTCACTTCAATCGAATACATATAGAAAAGAGCGATATCTCTCTTCCTCTTTATTCTCTCTTTCTCACTTTTTTTATTCTTTACCAATTCAACAAAGATTTTTATAGAAATATCCACTTTTTTTCTTCTCTCTGTTTGATAAAGCTTTGTGTAAATTGTTCTCTCTTACTCTCTTTGTGCTGATGCTGTTTGAAAAAGGCAGATGGCGTCTCTCCTGTGTGTGCTTATGCGTGTTTACTCCCTCTTTCTCCTTCATCGTCGTCGTCATTTAAATATTTTGAGTTAAGAACATGAATGATGAAGAGAAGTGTAATCCGTTGATGACGACTGTGATCAAATTTCGAATGTGCAAGAGCGCACGCGCATATTCCGTAAATCCTCACTTTCTGTTTATTTTTATCAAAAGTTTGTTGTGCCAATAATTACTTTTATCAAACGAATGAAAGAACGAGAAAAAGCATGAGTAAGTTATTTGAGAACTTGTCATCCGTTGCGCGTGCACATACAATAGTTCTGCTAGTTAAAATTTATATTGGACGATAAGAGAAGAAAAAGAGAGAGTACTATGATTTAATTTAATTGATAAGAAAAAGAAATTTTTTTTTTTCTTTTATCACAATCGATCATAAAATAAATAGTTTTGAAAGATAATATATGTAATATACTTACCTAATAAATAGTCCTAATTCATCTCATTACAACACATAGATTTTAAATGCAAGCAAATGAATGATGTCGTCGGGTGACGTGTCTATACATTGACATTATATTAGAGCCTTGCTTGCTCTTTCTCTATTTGCAAAGAAAAGACTCAAACATACACACATACAAAATCAAACAATTCATTCTCTCTTTTTTTAAAAAAAAAAAAAAAAAAAAAAAAGAAGAGATCAGATGATCATTATCACAACCATTTGAACTTGTTGTAAGCATATGTGATGTCATTCAATGCATATATATTATATATATATATACAGGCGGCTGACATAATAAAATACTTTTTCGATTGCAATATATATTGTTATCAGTATAGAGTATAACAACGCGTCGTTTTTCCTGTTTACTTGTATAGCCACCCTATCGTCTGTAAATAATAGGGGCGGCAAAGACTATGGATGTAAAAGAAGACACATCAAATCGAACGACAAAAAAACGAGAAAGTGTACATATGGCGATAAAAAACTAAAGTGGATGAAAGAGAGACGAAAGAAATAAAAACCAAACAAAAGAGAAAAATAGAGACAGAAAAGAGGCGTTGAAGAGTAATGAAACGAATGTTGAAGATTTGCAATTATGATTATGTCCACAATTGATCAATACCTTTCATAATGTTAGTTTTTCTTCAATAGAATTTAATAATTAAAATCCTTAAACGAACAAACATTTTTTGAATTGATATTAAATTATTTCATGAAAACATATCATTTTTACTCTATAGTGATGTTGATATATGTCAACAATGCATTGATTAGTTAAATTTTATTAGAACAAAAAGATAAGCATATGTGATACTCTTTGAATGTGATTGAAGATAACGATATGGATCTATGAAATATTTCAAAATTCGATTCTGACGATATTGGAATTGCGTCATAATAATTTACTTGCATCGATTTTTCTTGTTTTATTCTTACATTGTGATAGTATTATTAACCTTCATGATATTGTTTTGATTATCTATCCAATTTTTGTTTCGACATGGGACCAATGGACTCTTCAGAAGGTGGCCGAATGCCCTCCACTTAAATCGTTTTTTTTTTCTGTATCTTTACTTAATAAGCCTATTTTTCTTGAAGGAATTCAAAAAGAATATTAAGAATAGCGACTCTACGATACAAAATATATATATATATATTCGAATAGAAGGTTGATTTACCTGTATTCAATTCTGTTTGATACCTCTTAAAAGTTAAATCAGTTTTAGACTATATGTTTTTGTGTTCGATTGCATTTATTTCAAAAAAATCTTTTTTCTGATTATTCAACATTAATTTTTTTTTAAAGATCAATTTCAGATATTATTATCTTAAGTGCATTTTCAACTGAAAGTAAAACATGTTTAGCTATTATTATTAAACTGTTTTGGGTAATATGACTAAATTTATGTTTATAATGGTTATTTTTTAATAAAAGATTTAATTGATGTTGTTAAAGCATCGATTTTAAATGTTTTAACAAGTAATGTTTGTATTAGTGTTGATTAAACTTAGTTTTTTGACTGTTTATATTTTAAAGAACAAACACTTGGTGAAAAATTAGCTGATGTTTAAAGGTTGCTTTACTCATTCATCTTACGATTGTAATATTATACGCAATAATAAAATAAATTTCTTTTTATCTGTTAAAAACAAGTGATTTTTCTGCTAAGTTCATCAACCTTAAAGAATTCTTTACGATCGAATTTGGTGACTTGAACAATAGGGTTTCATTTTTCTTATGTCAGTACATTAATTCTTTCTTTCTTTTTTCTTCTACTGGGGATTATTAATATTATATTTGCTTGAAAAAACATATTCATCGTTAATATTCTGCTGATATAAACTATTACGAAACCTTGTGAACATATTGTATTATCTCTGATGGCTCTTGATCGTATATCAATTACACCAATAAAAAAAAATGAACAAACCAAATATAAACAGAAGAAAAACTATTCAAATATATTCACCTATCAAAAAAAGTCAGTAATATTTGTTTAGTGAATTTTTTCGTTGATCAAATTATTAAGTTCACAAACATCAACCACTTTACTAATTTGCATGTCTATATTGATTTATTGTTGAAATAGTTTCGATTGAATAATTAAAAGTTTATATATACTTATTTAAGTTTTTTATTTTCTAATAAACTTTATGATAAGTATTCATTAATTTCTGGAATATCATGTTAAAAATGATCTTTTTTCTGTATCGACAATCTAAGTTCTTGTGGATTCTCTGTATATGGCTGACTCAATTTATTTTGTTTTATCTAAAGCTGTAGTTAGAATTCATGAAATACAAAAATAAAGGTTTCGGTATTGACTAATATTTGTGTATAACTCATATTTTTACGAGCATATTCTACTCGGAATTTCAGGAACTGGTGTATCTATAAAAGAAAAAGTAACATATTCCAAGCATTGAGAACTATTAAACCTTCGAAAAATTTTTATAGAATTTGTAACCAGTCTTTAATGTTCTATCAGAATCTATTGTTAGATTTGATTCGAATACCCAGACAGCTTTCTCAAGTGCTAGAAATCGATTCCAAAAATTGCAAATTTTACGAGAAAACTTCTATAAATATCAAATCGTTGTTTGGACTGAGGTCATGCTTATTTGATGAGTACCGGTGAGTAATAGAAAAGTTTAGAATGATTTGATTTTATGGGTCTTTGTTCTTGAGATATCGAAATTTTATTGCTGTGGCTCTCTCAAAATCCCGTGAAAACAAAATTCGATTGTTTATATTTAACGACAATTCATCGTTGTCGGTACATATATAAGTGATAGTTCTTGCTTGTGCTGTTCTTTCCAATCTATTAATCTTTTTTTTTAGAGTGTAGATGTGTATCTTGTCTTCACTGACTTACACCGACATACCCTATCTACGATGGTGGCTAAAAATTCGAGAAAAATAGTTTGAATTTCTCATTTTCATAGTTGATTTCAATGTACTTTATAAAAATGATTTCTAGTCATTCATATCAAATGAGAGGTTGTCAATTATTATGAGCTTATGAAATAATTACAAGTAGTTTATTTTTACATGTCCTTTTAAAACTTAATATTTTCACAATTATCGAATGACATTGATGGTTGTTCATTGTTTGATCATGGCAATTCTTGTAATTTTCTTTGTTCAAGCGTAAGAGAAGTATAACAATCAAAAAATTCATCATCGCTTTCGCTTGATTGATTAAATAAATCATTATTATAATTTTCCATTTTACTGAATTCGACATCATGAAGCGTTAGGTGTTTGATTTTATCTTCATCCATTAAACTAGCTAAAACTATTAATTTAGCTGGTAATCCGAAATGAATTAATTCAGATTTTATAGATGATAATGATAGAGATGGATCAAAATGTGGTAATAGATCCCAAAATGGTAAATCAGAGCCAAAAAATTCTTCGGCTTCTTTATAAAGATCAATAAATGTCGTAGAATCGAAACGTGAATCAATAGGACGATTATTATTATTATTATTATTATTATTATCTTTTTCTATATTTTTGTTAATCCATCGTGCTCGACGTGGAATAAATGGTGTAGAGATTAAATCTTTTCGTCTTTTTTTAACCATTTCCTAAAAAAAGAAACAGATTTATAGTTCTTGAGTGTAAGCAAAAACGGTTTTTATATAAAAGAACAAAGAATAAGCGACGGAATGTATTACAGATATTGAAAGTGTTTTGTTTTCTTCTAATTAGATAATAATAGTTTCAAGCTATTAAAAAAAATTGTAAGTCTCAACTCATTCAGTCAAGAAATGGTGGAATTATATAGTGTTCTTTTTTTATTCATGATGTTGCAAATAGCCTGAACTTCACAATACATTGTTTAATGTGCGACAGAAATTTCATCTCAGTCACTCATAGTTACCTAAAATATAAAAATAATTTTCTTATTCTTNTCCATCGTGCTCGACGTGGAATAAATGGTGTAGAGATTAAATCTTTTCGTCTTTTTTTAACCATTTCCTAAAAAAAGAAACACATTTATAGTTCTTGAGTGTAAGCAAAAACGGTTTTTATATAAAAGAACAAAGAATAAGCGACGGAATGTATTACAGATATTGAAAGTATTTTGTTTTCTTCTAATTAGATAATAATAGTTTCAAGTTATTAAAAAAAATTGTAAGTCTCAACTCATTCAGTCAAGAAATGGTGAAATTATATAGTGTTCTTTTTCTATTCATGATGTTGCAAATATCCTGAACTTCACAATACATTGTTTAATGTGCGACAGAAGTTTCATCTCACTCACTCATAGTTACCTAAAATATAAAAATAATTTTCTTATTCTTTTTCTGTCATTTTACTCGATGAGTGTTAGAATCCTGCATCGAACTCCGAAACTCGACTGTGACTTGTCGAAATTACATCAGTAAATCCATGAAATGTTTTTACTCTTACATAGTAACAAGTTTATATTTTATATGTTAGGTAATGAACAAAAATAAACAATTTTTATAGATTAATAAATAAGTTTCAAAAAAGGAAACATTCTTCTTAACAGTTAGCATAAAAAGGGTGTGTATATGGGAAAGGATACACAAAGAATCGTCATTCATACAGATACCCATACATCCACGGCGAATTGTCCGATCTCTCTAAACGTGTTTTGAAGTTCAATTAGAGATAATCTCGACTCATTATTAGGTATTTTCTGTTTCGAACAATCGAATATTAGTTTGAAAGAAAGGAGCGATTGTCTGCAGTGTCTTCACCTTCTAAATTCGCCACTAATCACTACACTATAGAAAAAGGTGTATAATAATAAGCCTTGACTAGTCGTTCAGTACCATTACATAAACTCTTTCTGTTCATAAACTTGGAGCAAGAAATTTGTAATCTGTTTGAAATTCATTTATATCGTTGTACTATTTTCTGTGTTTATAAACCCTTTTTAAATATATGTGTATGGGACAAATTCTTACGTGAAAAGTTTATTATTGCACATTTTCAATATGATCGTAGAATAATTAACTCATCACCTGAGGGTTTATTTCCTCGTCCATATATGCAAAAAGGGTTTATGAGCAGAAAAAGGTTAGATTATGCTTATCAACCTAAAAATGGTTTATTTAAGGGCAATAAACGGATAGTGAGGGTTTGTTATTTTATACTTCTTTTTTTTTTCACAGTATTGCCAAATTGTCAATGGTTTCACAAAATAATATGTAATGGCTAACACTGAAGATGTATCATCTAAATTTCGTTCTATATAATTAGTTTTGTTGAATAAATTTTTCAAGAAAAAAAGAATAAATCTTACAATTGGTATTAATTTTTTTTGATAGCCTTCTGTTTGTGATTGTGTAACTGATTTAGTTGTTTTCATATTTTCAGTAGTTTGATCAGTTTTTTCTTCATGATCATCCGTTGATGAATCTATTACATTATAATCAGCTATTTCGTTACGAACTTTAAGTAAATTTTTTCTTAAACGAGTTTGATAATTTTCTACATTCAATGAAGATAATTCTTCATGTGATTTTTTTGATTTTCTGCAGGGTAAATCATTTTTGACTGTATTTAAATCATGTTGTACTTTTAATAAACGACGTTGAGTTCTATAGCGAACTTTTTTATGTCGTAATGGTTTATTTTGTATAAGAAGATTTTTTGATGTAACTTGTTCTTGAGAATAAAGTAGATTAACATTCTTTCCTTGTATTATATCTATATATGGATAAGGAAATCTTTTGTTATTATTATTCAGAAAACCTGCTTGATCGAACAAATGTGCCGTTTTCATCATTGTATTTTTGGCTCGTTGATGTTCATGTAATGATAGATGACATGTAGTCTTTGCATTTTTGGATACATTTAATGAAGATTTATCAAGTATTTTTTCATTGGTCTGATAAAAATCAACAATAATGCCATTCATATCTTGTTTCATTTTAAGTGATGTTTTCGGTAAAACTTCATTCGAATTATCAATACCAATATCCGATGTATTTCTATATGATCGATGAAATTTATTTCTAAATGATGAACGTATTTTATGATGATTTTTTATTGATTTCTTCATATTATCGTTTTTATTATTGATTTGAGTCATTGTTGTATTTTTAGATGAGATAATAGTAAAAAATTCTGCTTCATCATTTTCTAATATAAGATTAGTTACAGTTTTTGTATTTGGAATATTAGAACTTGAGCTTTCTGTTAATGAAAGTGTTGTATCATAATCATAATCTGAATCATGAGTTGAAATCGAATTAGTTAATGAAGAATTTGAGTGTGCTGATGTTGTTTGCTTACTTTTTGTATTTGATTGATTTGTATCATATTTTTCAGAAGCTAAAATTTCAGAAGAATCCGTTGGTGTAATTAGTTTATCATTTTTTGGTCTTGAGTTAGGTGTAACAGGATGATTAGTAAGTAGACTTGTAGACATTGTTTATCATATAATAAGAAGAAAAGCAAAAGAAAAGAACATTCATGATATGCGTGATTAGTCATATTTATACATTTTTATACTTTCACGGTTCATTTATTTCGATTTGATACTTTTTTGTTTCTGTCATTATTTTTTCTTACTGTATTTTATGCCTGATATATATATATACAATCATTAATGGTATGAATAAAATAAATGTGTGACTGATATAAAATAGTTGATGAGTTATTTTTCATTTAAAAAAAATGTTATTACTCATTTTGATTGATAGCATGCATTTTATAAATAAGATTTCATGTAATGTATTTCTGATAGAGGTTGTTAGAAGAGAAGAATATAGTTTGTGATAAAATGGGTAGTCTCCAAATCGATCATACTCGATGATCTCTTATTTGGATCTCTTTTCAATCTAGTTTCATTTCAGTTCGATCATTATTTATCAAACTAAAAGGAAATAATAAGTTTTTTTTTAGACGATTTCGAGTTATCTATTGTCCATTAATCTCTAATCAATGTTACGTATTAAGCATGTTTTCATATTGTTGTTTGTTTAGTTTATCATCGCCAGCTAATCCATGATGATATTATTCAATCATTTCGATACTATTTTGACCATGATTTACTACATATCTTACATAGTAAAATTTGATATTTAAACATTGTCCTTGATATAAACTAGTGTCTTGTAACTTGGCTGGGAATATAGGTGCAGATACAAACTCACTGGATCGGTTAGGGTTCGATTATTCTCTCATATCTGAACTCAACTTGGAAATTAACGAGATCTCGACGTTTCAAAATATTTTTACTTTTTCAAACTATTATTTATACAAAAGCAAAAGAGGGAAAACCGGCTGTACCTGACTAAGCAATTTTCTGTATTCTCCATAGAATAGTAGGTCAATGGACTCCTAATTTGTTTAGAAAGTCAAAAAAGTTTAGAGATGTACTTTTATTGCAATCAACTTTTTTTTTATATAGCGTAATTATAATTTGATTCGCTAACAAGCACGGAAGTGCACCAGATTTGATAAATAGAAATTTTCAAACTGTTGCGAGCATCGGCGACGCACCAGCAAGCCTCATCCGTATATGTCATTTCTCAATGTTTTCTGAACTTTTGATTATCAAATAACTTAAATTTGTATTTCTTTCTGATTTCGTCCATGATCACCATATAAGAACGTACTCATAAGGAAGATTAACTAGCTGCTAACATAAATAGTTAAATAAATAGTTTCAATGAGAGGAGCGCAATATTTTCAATTGATTCTTACGTTTATAATTTCATCAAGAAGGAATAGCTGATAAATAGCAGACAATCTTTTGCATGAATATGAACTCGAAATCTCAATGATTGATGAGCGAAAAGTAACAACAAGAAAAAAAAACGTGTTTTACCCACTCGTTTTGAATACATCTGTTCTCAATAAAAAACGTTACACTACCCTCAAACTCTTAATATGCTGTCAAAATAAATTAATATGCAGGCGTCCGATACTATGTCTTTGAGAAATTAATTTCGAAAAAAAAAAACTTTTACTGCCGAGGTTGGAACTATGGCTCGAAGGGAGGAAATATAGTTTCATTCCAGAGTTGGAACCGGTCGAGATTATTCTAACCGATCCGGTCTGGTTGGTAGAAATATTAGACAGGCTCGGCCCGACCGGTTTCAAAAGATTTTCAGACCGGTAAAAACCGGTCTGCTTGTCCGATCACTTTTAATCAGTTGAAGGAAGTAGCTTCAACAATCACTCAGTTTCCTTTTTCTGCTCGCTTTTTTAGAACGACTTAAAAGAAAATATCATGACACAGTCATTCATGTTTTTAAGATTTCTCAAGATGAATTTGTGCTGTCTTTTTAGCCCGAAAATTAGACAATTTAACCAGCAACTTATTTCCAAACTGCAGTTCTTGAAGTTTTTCACTCAAATTTTACTAAAAAAACCTAGTGTTTCTCTGAGAATGACGTTCCAAACTCAAATCTAGCATCCAACAAAACATCAACGTGATAGGTTCAGAAGTTAATCTCAAGTAACATAGTTTTGATTGTGCTTTTCATAAAGCAAAAGACAGGTCGATTAAAGAAATAAAAAATTATAGACAAACAGAAAAAGATAAAACTGTTAATTGCTGAAAACAAAACTGTTTGGCTATTCTGATAAATGCGATTAAACTTGATCACGATACGTTTTATCAAAAAAAAAAGTAGCAAACTAAAAAAAACTTTTTTAAACCAATAAAAACCAGTGCAGACCGGATCCAACTCTGTCTTATTCTAAAGCTTATTGCTTCCCCCAAAAAAATTGAGTTTACACCGTCTATGGTTGCGAGAACTTTTATATGAGTCATGATAGTTAACGATGAACCAAATATTGAGTTCTTTACTTTTTCACTTCCTCCTTATCAGGTAACCTGAGTGATTCATTCTACACACAATTCTCATCTCATACTGACACGTCCTTTTTAGTACGAAAAACCTCTTGCATAATTTCAATGGGTTGTGGTTCAACTTGATGAGAGCTCTCATTTTTCCGTTAATGATTTATCCATATTTATGTCATCTAAATAAAAGATTACATTGTTTCATTTCTAGACTTCTATAAAAATGAATTGCGAATTATTTTTTAATTCTTCGGTTTATGTTTTGTCTGATTATTTCATAATCATTCTGATTCTAGACAATCGAACAAGAAGTATTCATTTGGTAATATTAATTTTTTTTAAATAAAATTTCGACAATTTGATTAGTAATTTTGTAAGATTTTGACAAGCAAAAGTTTTTTGTATATTACAATTTTATTCGTAATCTTGTTGATCTCAATAAAGCTCTAATAGCGAAATACATATTGCATTTGTCGAGGATCAGACTAATGATTACTATAAAAATAATTATCGATAAAATAAAAATGAATGAATCATTTCATCAAAGCAAATTGTTACTTAACAGTATGCAAACAGTTCTCTGAGGACATACTTTTCACTACTACGTCAAGAACTTTCTTTTCATTCTATACAGAATAAATTGTATGAATATAAAAAAAAAAAGAAATTTTGATAATAAATAGGCCCATTTTATAACGAAATAATTGCTCCCAATTCATTCATATATATATATATATTTAGTGTATAATAACAAAATCAAGGTTTTGAATATTTTTTATAAAATGTCATTTGAACAAGATGCTATTAATGCTATTCCTTCAAATATTGATATCAATAATATATCAGATCGATTAAATGATCCAACACAAATCTTTAATATGTTAGACAAGAATAATGATGGACAAATAACAAAAGAAGATTTAAAATTATTATTAGAACAATTTGGTATTAATGGTATGGCTGCAAATATTCTATCGAAATATATTTTTCAACAATTAGATAGTAATAATAATGGTATAATTGAAACAAATGATCTCGCAAATGCTGGTAATATTCTTTGGAGTCTATTGCAAAAGAAACAGAACAGTGGTGGCTATTAATGATTATATTAAACACTTTTATTTACTATAAATAACTTTATCATATCTTATCTTTTTCATATTTTATAAAATTACATGCATCGAGAAAAAGGCTTTTTTTTTTTATAAATACAGCTGTTTGCAAAAACACTTGCATATCTTGTTGTACACGTAATCCTTATGTATATATGTTATTCTCATAGAAGAAATAAGAGAAAAGCATCTTGTTTTTTTTTTCAATGGATATCACACAATTCTTTACAATATTAATTTCAACATTTTTTACAAATCTTCAATTAAGAAAAGTTCAAGTTCATCAATGGTTTTGAGCTTTTTTTCTTCTTAACTTTTCGTTTTTCATACTGTCAGCACCTTGCAGATAAAGATTTGGACAATTTTTGTGCATGCGTATTTATTCATCATTATGGATATATCGACTAACGACGAACAGTGTTACGAGAAAATTAAGATGAAGATTTATTTGTAAAAATATCCTTTTAATGTTATTCAACTCATTGTGTACGTCGTTTTTTTTTCTTCAGATTTAAAAATATGAGGGCGTTTTGGTGAAATATTCCTATAACCAAGTTCATGAAAATAACAACGTATTGTTGATGTAAATACTGATGAATGATGCGTCCTTGATAAATTTCTTTTTATTTCATTAAGGATTATTTGATTGTTACGTCGAATATATTGACCAATAGATTTTTTTTCTATGTCATTAAGCACACGTGGTCGACTATTTCCGGCTCGATGCTTAATTGAATTTGTTTGATTCAATTTGTTGATATTGTAATAGACTGTCCTCAGCGAAATATTTGTTTCACGACTAATAACATGAGCAGATCGCATGCCTTTGTTCCAGTAATATAATATTGATATATGATAGTTTTTTTAATCACTAGCTGAAAACTTATCTTTAGAAAAATAAATATTGTAATTGCTTCTAATGATAAGAAAAGCGTTAGAAAAAGATTTAATTTTATGCCAATGTTTTTTTGGAAAATAATTCTCCGTCATAGTATTAAATTCAATTATTTTGTATAAAGAAAAAGAAATCATTGACAAAAGTCATTGCAATCAAAAAAGAAAACGAGACGAATTCTATATTTGATAACCGTATCTGCCATGAGAGTCGAGAGGCGGCGTCTGTCAAAATACCGAATTAGCTCTAATAGATGGATGTGGATGTAAGTGCCAATCTTTTGTGTATTTTAATTGGCACTCCAAGCTGCGCACTTATACTCACTTCCACAAACAGACAAGAATATCCGAAAACGCATCTGATCGGTTCTTGTTTGCACGTCTACTCTCAAAGTAAGATCTTCAAATAACTCAAGCCATTTTCAATGGTATTTATATCGATATTTTGAGGATATTATTCTAGGTAAAGTTTTTAAGAGAATTTGGGTTGATGAAATGTCTCTCGAAAGTTATGATTATTTTACTAGTTTTTCGATCTAGCAGCGTAAGATATTTACAGAAATGCTCAAAAGCAAAAATTTCGGTTATATATAGTTCTCATGATCACTAGAACATTCTAAAAGTTTCACTGAAGAACAATGTTTCATTCTTTTGCTGTTGAATCTTAATCTTTTTGCATTTCATATATTTTTCTGAGTGAACATGAGCCACAATTTGAACAATTAAGCGTCCTTTTGTGAATTATTGTCTGTCTGGAGATTTGAATGTAAGGGAGTTAGGATGTCGGTGAGAGTATACAAAATATTTACAGACCCATGACGAATCGTTCAGTCACCGAATTTATTTTGAATATGAGCTAAATAATATACTATCATAAAATATTGACGTTTTATTATTTCTTTTCACAAACATCATATTTAATTCATCTGGTTCTTAATGATCTCATAATTGCGCATATTTCTAAGAATTGATCTTTTTACACAAATACATAACACATATTATCTCGATCAATGAAATGAATGATGAATATTGTATATTATTTTAAACAAAACAAAAAAAAAGAAAAAGAAAAGATATTAGCTGTTCACTTTTATTGCAGTTCAAAATCCAACACATATCTCGAATCAAATAAATATATATATATATTTCTATCAATATATTCTGTGTCTGTGACTCTCTTTCACTTGCTTCACATACTTAACAACATTCAAAGAAGAGAGAGAGAGAGAAAGAACAAAGAACGAGAACAAAAAAAAAAAAAAAAGATGAAAATGGGAAACAACAGTAAAAATAAAATTATTACCGCAGTAGCTGCGTGCATACGCACAAAAGGAAAAGTTTATACGTATATTCAAATTGTGCATGTATGTCATCCATAGTAAAAACAGATAAGTTAAATTATTTTTTTTTGTTTTCTCAATCATAATAACCAATAGCCAGAGGCTAACTAACAACATTTAACAGTGCAAAGAACAACAGATAAAAACAAATGATATAAGCCCATACATAGGGAAAGAAGAATAGATATAAAAAAAAAGAAAAGAAAAAACACTTTTTTTTTTCTGAAAACGATTTCACTGTTATTTTCTTATTCCTGGAAAAGAAGAAGAAGAAGAAGGAGAAAAAGTATTATCGACTGATATTGATGCATCATTATTATACCTTGAATAGATAACATTGGCAAATATGGCAATAAATATAGCTAATAAAGCAAAACCAACTGATATAACAAATGCCCATTGTTGATCAGTTAACGTACGATTTTCTAATAATTTCATTGATTGAAATTTTCGATAAATTGTTAAACGATATCGATTTATAAATGATAGTTGTTGTTCACGATTATCATTATTTAATAAACGATTATCTAATGCTTTTGATGCTGATAGTGCTGCAGCTAAATCTTCTGGTCGCGGTAAAACAAAATGTGTTGCAGGACTAAATGGACTATATAATGATAAACCTTCATTTGTTGTTCGAATAGCACAAACACGTGCACGATAATCAACACCGGATTCTAAATTTGTTGCACGATATGATGTTAATTCACCATTATAAATTTCGCTATAATCATTTTCTTTTCTATAGATTTGTAGTTGTAATATATAACTTAAAGTATCTCTACCAAGAGGTTTATGAGCTTGCCAGTTGAATACACATGAGGTAGATGTTATTTCTGTTATATTTGGAGCTAAAAAGATAAAAATTTACATATAATTATTTGAATATAAAGAAATATAATGAAATATTTGTGAATATGAAAAGAATAAAATGTGTATAGGTAAAATATGCTTTGATCCATTTGAAAGCAAAGTCTTAACAAAATAAATCTTTGAAGAATGAAATCAAACGTAACTTTGCTACATATTTTGAACTAATGAGAGTCATCAAGCATTAACCATGACTTTATCAAAAGCCATTTTTCTGAACATTTATTTGTTTGAGCATTTGACCCAGAGTAGGATCATCTAGTAGACTGAAAATCTCAAGCTCTATATAGTAATTTAAACTGTTACTTCTAACATTGGAAAATTTTCATGCGTAACTAATCTAGTTTTTGCACTATGCAGAATGAGACTTGATTTCTTTCGGCCATCGATGTATCCTTATGAAATATTGAAACAATGTATATACATACGAAAAAAAAAAAAAGTCAAATGAATGACGAAATATAGAGGATGCAGAAATGGGTATTGTTCGTTTTTTAAAACTTCTATTCATAAATCTGCCATTTATGATGATTGCATAGATTAAGAAATACTAATGAGAAAAGATAAATGTCTAAATTCTTGTCGAAGAAGCTACAACTATGACTTCGGAGTTCAAAATTGGATAACGAAGAAAGTCTCATTTTTGTGCTTCAACGAGAATGAAAGTTTTAGATTACATCGTTGTTTCTATTCGAAGATACAGCAATGATAAAAGCATATCTATGGAAAGTTTCAAGTTGCAGCTCGAAAATTAGTTTTTCTGAGAGGAGGACCTCGAGTATTGGCTTAAAGAATACTGTCAAAATTCAATATCTCTACAGAAATAAGCTAAAAGGCCAGAAACTCTTTTTCACGTATTCATAACTTATTAACATCTGCATGATGCATATAATCGTGACTCTAAAATAATTATTCAATTGTGGAGCTTTCCGTATTAGCAAAAATAATTGTTGATTCTAGAAAATTTTAACCATACTTTCTAAAACTTTTGACTATGATTGTCTATCTTTTCTGACATATGCCTTTCTATATAATTTCCACTGTAGTTCTATCGATTGCGTAATGACAGACTACGACAAATAGAAATGTTTGTCGAAATTTGAATTTTCTCAATAATAAAATGAACTAATGCTTTTATTAAAAATCCGAACCTTTTAAAGCATTTGGTGGTGCTTTTTTTGTTGTAAATGTATAAATTTCTGACCAAGGACCAGGACCAGTATCATTTTTTGCACATATACGAAAATGATAGGATGTATTTTCTTGTAATTTATTTATTTTATGTGAAGATGTATTTCCACTATAAACACAATTAAAACTAAAACAAATAGAAAAATTATTTTTTATCATTTATAAACTTTTATGTTTAACTTACTTTTCGTCTTTTCCTTCCATTTCAATAATATACGTAATAACACGCGTTGATGTTGTCTGTTCAGTATTACTTGTTACTGTTGGAATTATATGATTGATTGTATTCCATTTTAATTTTATTGAATTATATGTTGCTGTTACACATTCAAGTTGTGGTGCATCAGGTGGTAAACATTTCGTATGACACTTAACTGTTGACGAATATGGGCCTTGTCCTATTGAATTTACAGCTCGTATACGAATTCTATTAAGAAAATAGATAAAATATTTAAATTTTACAATTAAAACTTACCTATAAGCTGTATCAGGTAATACTTCATCTATGTTATATTCTGTCAATTCTGGACTAGCAAAAATAAGTTCTTTTTCACCAATATCAATATAATAACCAGTTATAGGTGATCCATTATTAGATGGTTCTTTCCAAGTTATTGTCATTGATGTTGACTTAGGGTGGGCTTTAACAGATGTAACTATTGAAGGTGAAGCTGCTGGTGTAACACATGATGCTAACATACTATATGGACTAGGACCAGCTAAATTAACTGCCTAGAAGAACAAAAAAGAGAAGAAATCAAATATTTGCATTTAAAAATCTAAAGAGAATATTATTTACTTTACCTGTACTCGAAAAAAATAATGTGTAACAGGTGTAAGTCCTTTAGCTTCATATGTACAATTTGTACCACAATAAAGTTGCATGAATGAATCATTTTCTTTTCGAGACCATTCAAGACGAAATTCGGTTATAGCTGCACCATTATTTACACCTTCTTCCCAACTTATCAATGCGCTATTTGCTGTACGACATGTAACGACAATATTTCGTGGTGCTTCAGGTACACCGGGACCAGAAAGAACATCAAGATATTCTGACCATGGACCAGCCTATGATTTGGAAAAAAAGAAGAAAATAAATTCAAATTAAATACTAATTATTAAATCTCATACACCAGCACGATTAAATGCTCGAACTTGAAATATATATGGTCGACCGGGTAATAAACCAGCAACAATACAATCAAGATCACGTCCACGATAGACCATACGTGATGAATTATCAGAATTTATTACTTGAACTTCAAATTCAATAACAGGTGAACCACCATCATAATCTGGATATGCTAAAAAATATAATAAAAAAAAGTTAAAAAAAAAAGCTTAGAGTCTATTGCAATATATAAAAATAGTAGTCATTGTTTCTAAATTGTTGTAAGTTTGTCACAAGTTAGATATAAATACTAAACGCTACATTTTCTTTTATGGAACTCACATATATTGTCAAAGAAAATAGTGTAAATCGAGATTTTAGTGGTTCTCTGAACTGTAATAACCGAAATCCAAGGACAAAATCTAATAACTATATTTTCTCTAGTAACGAATGACAGTGAGGTCAATCGGCATTGAGTACGTTGCCATAGTAATCAAGTACAACAGACGCTAGATTTCCCTCTCAGAGTCTCTTAGCAACGGAAAAAGGGGCAGAATGGTACTAACAATAAGACTTAAATTTCTCGCGAACATTAGAAAGCCTTCCTCGAAATCTCCAATGGGTGAACTGCGCTTATGAATACGCAATGTCAAGGATAATGGGCAGTAATTATGGAACTGTAGGTTCACATTTTCGTAGATTGGCAGCTCCAGCGTTTTATTTAGATGGTCTTTTCCGGAGAGCCAATTTAAAATTCCAAAAGGGCGAAAACCTTTGGAAGCTCAGATACATAAACCAAGTGCACAGCTTCCTAGTAGTGATGTATTGATTTACTACAGTTGTCATCTGATTTGCATAAATAGTGTGAACTAATCAAGTTATAAATTAATATTAGTGCTTCTAACTTTATTGAGGTATATAAAAGTATGTTGAGACCTCCTGTGGATATAATGGATATGTATACCGGCAGTCAAATCAATGGTTAGAATAATAACAATCATAATGTGAAACTAAGGATCGCGGAGTACAAGAACAAGTAAAGAGTGATAAGGTAAACAAAAAAAAATTGAAACTTAAGTAAAACAGATCGTTTCTTTGGAGACCGATTGCCTTTGGAAAATTTTTTATAGTCTATTAGAGAGTTTTCACTTAACATATTTTGTATTAATATGATCAGGCTAAAGAACACATGTAAGTTCCACATTTTGTGGTCCAAGGCACTGTACTTGAAAATCTTACATTATCATCAGCTTTCTGTTCTATGCTTTTTCGTGGAAAATTACTCGATTAATTTTTGCGCTAATTGATCGATTGATTTATTTTCCTGACAGTTTAAGTATCTCGATTTATAATTAACTTTTCTACCTTTAATTTATAAAATTCTTTTCTTACCCCAACGAAGATGTAAAGAATTTGCTTTTGGTTTTCCAGAAATCTTTGGTGGATGACATGAAGCAGGTGCTACAGCTGGTGTTTTTATTTGTGTTATATCTGATGGATCACTTTGACCACCTGTACTTGAACATGATAAACGAAGAGAATATACATGACCAGGTATAAGTTGTTCAAGTAAATATTCTGTTTCTAAACCATTATAAATCACATGAAAACCTAACAGAAAAAAAAAGAACCAATAAAAACATTTTTGTCTATTTTTAATTGATTTTTTTACCTTTTGATTCTTCTAATTCAAGATGATATTGTTGAATATCTGCACCTCCATTATCTCTTGGTGGATCTAAAAATAAAACATGTTTTGCTTTTATCTAAGAATAAATTTTCATTTTATTATTACCCCAAGCTATACGACATTGTGTTGCTTGTATTTGTCCTTTTATTCTTGGTTTAGCTGGTGGATCTGGTCGATCAGGTAACGTTTTATATGTAGCTATTTGAGAAAAATTACTTTGACCTTCTTGATTATGTGCTGCTAACTAAAAAATATAATTATTAAATAAAATGTTATTTAAACAGAAGAAAAAAAGAACAAACAAATTGTTAATTACTCGAAATTTATATTCTGTATTTCGATATAAATCAGTAACTGTATAAGTTAATAATGGACCTGTATATTTATTACGAAAATAATTTGATTCATCATTCATTTGTAATGTAAATGTTTCATCAATAGGTCGTTTAGTCCATAATAATGTTAAATGTTTAATACCTTTTTCAAGTAACATTGGAGAATCAGGTTCAGGTGGAATTGTACCTAATGTACTAAATTGAACTGTTTCACTAAATTCACTAAAAACAAAAAGAATAAATACGAAATAATTAATTGAAGTTTAAGTTATTCATTATTTTTGTTTTTTTTTACCTTCGTCCAATACTATTCTCAGCCGCCAAACGAAAAGCATAAAATGTTGCCGGAATTAATTTAGTAAGCATAAATTGTTTTTTTATACCACGATATACTTCAACAAATTCTCGACCTTTACCCTGTAAAAAGTGAATGATTGGTTTATTTATAAAAGAAAAAACAAGAAGTTTCTAATAAAACGAACTTCATCATATTCAAGAATATAACTTGAAATTTTTGATCCATTATCAGCTGTTGCTGTCCATTTTAATGTTAAAGAATTTTTTAATCGACTACCGAGTAATTTCGGTGGTACTGGTCGATCTGGTTCACATTGTTCAGTTATGAATGGAATTGAATTTGTGTATTCACCTTTACATGAATCAATACATGCACATACTCTAAGAATTTAGAGACAAAAATAAATAAGAAATTTTGATTTTTTCTAAATATTTTTACTTTAAATGATATTCTGTTGCAGGTTTAAGATCTTTTAAAGTTATTTCATTTGCATCACCACTAAAATAAAAAGAATTATATGTTGCTTTAGAAATTTTATTATGAGTTTTCATTTAGAATAATCTCTTTCAATAATTGATCAAATTATTAACAAACAGTCTTGAAATAATTTCAAATTGAAAATCTAAAATTTGCACAACCAACTACACTCACGAAGAACCTTGTTTGTGACAAGTTTGAAGTCGAAACTCTCATATGACCTGAGTGGAACTACCCTAGTAAAATTTGAATATTTCAAGAACAAAGACCCGAAAAATTAAATCATTCTAGACATCCCTACTAGTATTCATCAAAAGAATATTGTCTCGATTGAAAAGCGATTTGAAACCTACAGATTTCCTCGTAAGCTATCAAATTTTAAATATGTTTATTTTCTAGAGGACTCCAGGTTTTCAGAAAACTTGCATTTCTGAATTTTGATCTGAAGCTTTGTGCATATAGAGAACTCAACTAAAAGGCTTCTATAAAAAAGTCAGAAACTTTGAACAAAGTCTCGTTAAGATATAAAGTCTTTTCCATAAATAGCATAAGCCAGGGCTTCGCGTGATATGGGACAGTCCCGTCCCATCCCATTGTTTCCATGGAATGCAACCATTTTGAAAAATGTCCCATAGAACAGGATGGGACGAAATTTTTTTTTGGATCCCATCCCATTCCACGTGGGACGAAATATTTGAGGATAGTACCATCCCATTCTATGTGGGACGAAATATTTGAGGATAGTCCTATCTCACGCGGAGTCCTGATGTAAAGTCAAATATCAATAGTTATCCGAATCCTTTGAGGATTTTATTAGATCAACACGTGGTATCTAGAGACAAAAAATTATTGAAATCAGAAGAAAACATCTGAGAAGATTCCCTCGTTAGTATAATTACTGCACATTAACACACTCAGAGGTGTACGAAATCGCCATGATAGTGTGAGAGAGAAGAAAAAAACCAATAAAACGCTAGAAGTCGACTGGAAGAAAATGAAAGCTTTTCGAGATTGAAAGAAGGTTACACTCTCGATCTCCTGGACACGTTGACATCAGTGTTCATTGAAGCACACCGTTGCCAAAAGGGTATTATTGGATAGAGTTATTGAGATGAAAAGTTTCAGGTCAATAGTTTTTATTAAAGATGATAAACTTTAACAACACAATAATATACTATTTTATCAATTTTTGTAATAGCTTAAGTTAAGATTTTTAAATCAAAACAAATTTTCGAAATAAAATAACATCTTTCTATATTAGATTATCGTATTAACTTATTACTTATTTTAATTGTCCTGATATTTATCAATCATCCATTGACATAAAAAAAATACTAAATTTTTTCGAATCCGATTTAGTATAGTCATTCAATAGTCCAATATTATTTATCTTTCTGCCTTGATAATTTCTCTTTTAAAACACTTCAGACGTATTGTATATACCACATGTCACCGAGTGCTATAGGACAATTTTCTGCGCTCGATTCAATTAATAAAAATATGTCTGATGGAATTGAAAGGTATGCAGATATTCACTGATTTAAAATCTTGATTATCTTGACAACTTATATTTTCTAAATCATTTCATTCTTTTCAACTGTTTTTTCTTCTATGGACACGCACACAAATCGAAGCATAGTCGCGTAAAAAATATTTTTGTTTTGACACGTGTTTTATAAAGAGCCTCTGGAATGAATAATTAATTACTGTAGAAATGACAGTCCCAGACGAGTCGAATGGAGTACATCATTATATCAAAAACCAAGGCTATACACTTGAAAATATGACTGAAAACAAAACATTTGCTAGTGGAATAAATCCTATTATAAGTTTTCTTTGTGCAAAGAAATGATCTGTAACTCTTATGTATGTATGAAAAAAAATAAGTTCACAATAATACTATTTTGCTCACAATGCTATGTAGAAAGTAAAATAAAACTTTTCCATTACAACGCATGTTAATTATTCGAATCGACTAGTTCAAATATTTTTCTATAACTGTCTTTTCATTTGTTTCTCGTATACTTACTTGATCATTTCTGATGAAAACTATACAAATAAATAAAAATCTACACATTTTTTTTTTAATGAAATTCTCGATATAGTAACAGCCGTATTAGTTATCATGGAATTTGCTTTTTAGCGTGAAATTGAGAAATCAGAATAAATGACAGTAAGTCAAATAGAAAAATTCATTGATTTTTAACCAACAAATTGATTTTGAATCAGTCTAAAGAAAAAAGTCTAAACGGAGTACAGTTGAAAGTTCTAATTTGTATCCTATTTTATCAGATTATATTATTTGAAAATTAATAAAATCGTATTGTTACAGTTTTTCATCTGTATTAACAGTGATCAATCTGAAACTTTTAGTACTAAGTAGATATAATAATCTGCTAAAACTGAAAAAAACTGATATCCTAATTTTCTTTACTCTATGTCAAACTGAAGTCCTGCGGAATATTTTGAAACAATAATTAGACTCGGAAAAAGTTTATCTCACAGAACTTTAGTCGTTTCATAACTTCTCGAATATCTCTTATATTTCGAGCTAGTCTTCATATGACATGATTAACATTTTGCTATTGATTATTCTAATTTCGTTGATGTTATTAAGAAAAGAGCAAACATTAGAATATTTGTTCATTCTTTTGTACATATAAAAAGTACTTCATCAATGTTCTTATCACAAGGTTATTAGAAATTTGATATAGAAAACATTTTCAAGGCAATTCTTTCATTATAGACTTTTACATTCTCGAAATAGTTTTAGAATTGGATGAAATTAAATTAGTATTTTTTTTTTTCAAATATCTTACCAATAGACTTGTTTATATTTGGCTTCTTTGCCTTTATCAGATAATAATAATTCATAAATAAGATTAGTAAAATCAATAGAATAATCTGATTGTGATGATGTTGATGATGTTGAACGTGGTGGTTGAATTCTTACTAAAGCACTTCGACTTTCAATATCTTGAATCTATGCACAAGAAGAAGAAAAAAACTTTCTACTATCTTTCAAAACAAATTTAGTTTCTTACAATTGGTGGAGATAATTTTGATAGACTTTTTTCAATAGTATGTCGTTCTTGATCAAGTTCAGCAGCAACTGCTAAATCAACAGGTTCATTAGTTGGTTGAACAATCATATCTCGATAAAATGGAGCGTAATGTGCTAATGATGGCGGTGGTGGTGGTGGATGATGATGATGATGATGTTGGGATTTATGTGAACCATCTAAATGATTATATAAATATATATTTTTGTTTTTATAAATTTCAACTAATCAAAGAAATTTATTTTGAATAGTAAAAATAAAGAAAAACGAAAAAGAAACCTATTAAGAATTTCGTATTTAAACGTATTTGTCGATAACTTTTAATAGGCAAAGATCGATTCAAATTATCATCCATTTAAAACATAAGTTTGACTAAATCAATATTTAATCATCATTCGATATAAAATAAAGCGCTCTTTATAATATTCAAATAAACTTACTCATGCTAACATTATTTACATATGAATTATTATTCGCATGAGATTGTAGTATACGTCGTTTTTGTCCAATATTATTTAAATTTCTTCCATTTGATCCTCCTCCTCCTCCTCCAGTTGTAGTACAAGCATTATTATTTGCATTATATACAGGTGAACGGCGTTGTTGATTATTTGTTGAATTAGTTGATGGTGTTGATATAGATGTAGTACATCCTACTATTGTCGTTGTTGGTGAACCATTACTTTCTGATAGATGAAGTAAACAATGTGATGCTAAATAGATAATAAATATAAAAAATAAAAATTTGTTTTTCTTTTTTTAAATTTCATACGATTTGTTGATGATGATGTATGACTACAAGCCGAACGTGGAGAATAAGATATTGTATCTGTTGGATAAGGTCCATATACATTTGGATTATGATATTGATGTGGAGGAGCATAAAGTCCATTGTAAGGTGATGGAGAAAAACCGGGATGCTATTAGAAAAAAAGTTTAAATATTATATTAATATTTGAATTCCAAGTGTTAACTTTTTTTAGACAATGAAATGATGTACTTCAAAAAATCGATTTTCTTTAATTCTTACCATGTGATGGGGTGGTGGTGGTGGCGGCGGTGGTGGTGGGGGTCCTGGTTGTGGCATAATGACATGAGTTAATACACCATTTTCGTCTAGAACTTGTTGAACTATATGTCNTGCAGTCCCTCTTAAAGTAAATCTAAATCTAAAACTAAATCTATTTCTATCACTTATTTTCGAATTGATACTATGTAGCTGAGTGTCCATTTATATTCGAATTCGAATTAGGCAACTCATGGAAATTCATGAAAAAGAGCTACCATTTTAAATTCAACTATTAGAAAACATATTGTCTACAAAACTGATCTACTTTATTGTCAACATGCTGAGAAAGCTCAAGAGTTTGAACCATTTCAAATAGTCAGAACATACTAGTCTGCAGAAGTATCAATTTCATAAAATTTTTGAAAGACTTCTTTAGTGTGTAGGTAACTCAAATTTAACCTTCAATAAAACTAATTGTTTTGATTTTAATATTTACATACATAGACATTTTATCTCAATTATGTTGACAAAAAGTTAAAGGCACTACAAATGAAGTCACCGAAAATCCATGAATATTGCTTGAATTGTTGAAGAGCTATTTATGTTTTTCATAGAGATCAATCAACTCTCAATTCAAAGTTCATATCAAATGAGCGAAAGAGTCGTTCAAACAGTTCCTCTCATAGGAACTGAATTGTTCAAATAGATCAATTCAGATCAGAGGACGTTTTTAACAGTTGCTCAGATTCGAACTACAAATGAACTTGTCGATCTCTAGTTTCTTATACAGACAGACGTCTGAAACATCCCGTAGCAGAGCTGCGAATACTTTCTAGAAGTGAGGAAATTGAACTGCTCTCATTCTTAGAATGCGAGAAGTGTTAACCGAACGAAGAACGAAATCCACCGTGACCTGATCCATCCCAGAGCAGACCGTCCCTTCCCAATCTTATTTATGTTACAAAGACATTATCTGCTTCTTTTGATTTCATTTTTCGCCAGAAAAAGGCAAATATTATTTCAAAATTCGATTGCTGTCCAAAGTTGCCACGAAGATTTTTAAAAAAAGTTGGCAAAAGCTATTAAGAGCTTTCGCAGAAAGTCAAACATTGAAGAGGAAGTTCTCCTCCTGATCGAGACCCTTGTCCTATACTATTTGGAACTTCTTGTTTTCTTCTTCAGTCTTTTATGTTGCAAAATATGGATGTTAACCGATACAGTAAGATTTACTTTGATTTGAAGAAAGCGGTTTCATCATGTTCTATACCTTAATGCTACAATAAAAATTCATCTCAAAAATACAAAAGCCGAAATATTAATAAAAAAAACATTTAAATATCTTGTTTATTATTGATTTTCATATTAGAGAATTTATGAAAAAATAGACAATACAAAGGAAAAAAAGGAAATCTAAACAGTCTAAAGCAGTCGTGATCCATAACCAAATGTTGATTTAATACTTTCTAAATAAAAACGTTTCCAACCTTCCTAAAATAAATTCAAAACAAAATTATTTTTTTAATTGAAAAGTTCTTTAACAAACCACTGTATTATCATAAAATTGACTTGGTACACCTGTTTGTTGTATAACAATTTTTGTTTCATCAGTATCTTCATGAAATAATAATGAAACATGTGAATAATGATCACTAGGCCATGATTTAAAACGCCATAACATATCAATACGATCATAAGGTACAATATCAACAAAACGTCCTGTTATATTATCACTAAATAACGAGAAAAATCCTCCTTTTCTACAATCATATTGCGAAACACTATTTTGTGTAAATGCTTTAACTTTATTCATATCACAAAATGCTTGAAATAATTCTATTTTCGTACATTTAAATGTATCATGAAGTTTCACATCACGCATTGTCATAGTTGGTGATTTATTTTGATTTATTGGTAATGGTGTATGAATAACAGTTTTAGTATTATTTGTTGATGATATAGATTGTGTATTAGTAGTTATTATAGTATTTTTAGTTGGTAAAATAAGTCCTTGAGAAAATTCTTCTTTAAGTAAACGAATATAATCAGCTAGTTTTTGTCGTATTAATGGTTCACCTTCTTTTTTCATTATTTCTTTTAATTTTTCACCTTTAGATTTATCAGCAGAAAATGTTATATTAACTTCATCAATATCATTTTCATCAGATAAATTTGGTATTTCAAATGAACCTTCATATTTTGTTCAATTTTCTTCTTTACGCATTGATCCTTCCCATTTACCTTCGATGTGCCATTCATACTAGAAAAATCAATGATTGAAAAACAAAAAAAAATAAATGATCATATATACTATTTATTTAACTTACAAGAAAAACAAGTTTCGCTTTTCGATTATTAGCTGATGCTTCACCTGAACATCGTTTTAATTCTTTTATTTCACAAGTATATTCGTCATTTTCTATTTTAAGTCCAACTAATAATTCATTTAATTTATCTTTTGACCATTGTGTAGCATTTTTTTCTTTCCAATGCCAATTATTTGGATTTGTAGCTAGAAATTATAATTTTTTATAATAGAAAGTTTCATTATATTTTGTCTTACCATCTGGACGATCTTCTACAATCCAACGAGGATCACCTTTTCCCCACTCAGCCATCTATCGCCACGTATTTCACTTGTTATGGTTGAAGTCATAGTTTGATGACATGTGTAATGTAAGTTTCAATAGGTGGTTCATGGTTGGTCGTCTGTGGGGCAAATAAGATTCATAAATTCGATTTCTTTTCTTCGTCTTCTTTTTCAAAGAAAAGATAAGAGAGACATCTGTTGTAACTTAAAGGGAGCATACTGTCTTGTATAATTGAATTTGATCAATTCTTTTTCAAAATACAATTAGATTATTTTTATATTGATCTTTTTGACAAGGCCGATTAATCCATTGGGACCTCCACACAGATGTGATTGTATCTTTTTTCAAACTATTCGAGGAATTTTTTGCAAGTTTTCATTTAATGGAGTGTAGTGTTTCTTCTGAAGAAATATGAATGATTAAATAACTCTCCGTCTCAATGCATCTACATATTTGTTTTTTTTTCTTTTCTGTCACATACTTATACAGAGTGTTCTTAAAATTTTGTTTCCGGCCCGGAAGAAAAGCGCGTGAGTATCTACGTTATATTTCGATCGAATCGACTGTTTCTTTTTGATTGCTAATATAAGAATATACATCTTTCATATTCGTAAGAAAAATACGTTTTTAAAGTGTTAAGTTTATGAAGAAAATCTATATTTTATAAATAATTCAATTCTTAATTCACAATGCTTTTTTCTGAAAGTTCTGATGATCACGAGTTTATACACGTATGTCAAAAGTAATATTTCAAAACAATAATTTTCCTTGTTTTTTCACTTCCAATTATAAAATACGAGCATTTTTTCATTCGCTGAAAAAGAAGTACTTCATTCACTGCATGTATGACGAAGGTATTCAAGCTTTTCTTCTCTCTAATAAATAAAAACTTGTACTATTCTCTTTCTTTGTATTAATGTAAAGTTTTCATCTGCAGAAAGTTTTGACTTCTTTTAATCAATGAATAATTTGAGATTTTATAAATGTACTCTAATTGATGTCAATTGAATCGACAATTGATTTACAATTTAATACTTATCAACAATTATATTTTCAACATCAAACTATTCGACGAGAACATCAAGGAATACTTCTTGAATCATTGCAACATTTAAAACATAATGTTAATAGTACTTTAATGGATGATAGACGTAAATATGAAAATGCCAAAGAAATATTTTATCATAAATTCAATATATTCAAACGTATATTTATTCATGCAGCTGCACAATATAAAAATTCATGTGTTATGCCACTTAAACAAATTTATCAACAACGAAAATATTTATCAATAAAAGTTATTGAATTATTAAATAAAACAAAATCTGAAACATCACCAATTGAAATGCGTGCACATTGGAATGGATCTATAGCAGTTGTATATAATCCAATAACTGGTCGTGCAGAATGGAAACAGTATCGACATGGTGGAATGCATGGTGTATTTAATCCAAATACACGTACTATTGAATGGAAAGATGATTTTCAAACAGGTGTTTATGGAGTATTTAATCCTAAATTGAATATAGTTGAATGGAAAAAATTCTATAAAGGTGGTGTTCATGGAGTTTATAATCCATCGATAGATACAATTGAATGGCAAACGTCATTTCATTCAGGTATTGGAGGTGTTTATAATCCTTTAACAAAACAAATTGAATGGAAAACATCATATTGTGGAGGTGTTGTTGGATACTTTGATTATGAAACACAAACAATTAAATGGATAGAAAAATGGCATCATGGTATTGCTCTTATTTCATGGGATTCAACTATGAATAGTTATTTAACAACTGCTAGCTGTGGATGGTATGATGATAATTAAATGACTTTCACACAGTTTTAGTTATTGCGTTTAAAAAGAAACAAGAAATGTTATTTTTTTTTATTGTAAGCATTCAACAAATCTAAATATAGATACAAAAAGAATGATACTAACAATGTACTATATCAAACGATAAGTTGAATAGAAATTTCTTGTTTGTTATTGTGATATATGATTATTTTCATATAATTATTATGTATCAATAGTAAACTACAAATTCATTATTAAATCTTTTACGAAAGCGTTGAAGCACAAGTCCTAATGTATTATATTTGTTATTAATAATTCATGCTACATTTGTATTAGATTATATGATGCAGAATTATGTTTTCTGTGTCATTGATTTTATTAAGATTTGTACTCATGATAGATTTCGCTTTTAACAAGATTATTTCCTCATTTTTCAACCAACTAGAGGAGTTAACAGAAAATTTAAAGAAAAATTTTGTGTTCTTTCTGAATAAATGTTTGTGAGACTCATACGTTAGGAACTATGAGAGAGTCTTTGAAGAGGCCGAAAATAAAGTTTGGACGAAAATAATTGAATTAATAGATATAAAGTTTGAAATTCATTGAATACTACTTTTTCATTTTGCCTATACATACTACGATGCTCTATGAAAGGTCCTAAAATGATTTAGGTTCCTATTAAGATTTGACTAAACTATCAACTTTTGATATGAAACTTTGCACATATAGAGAACTCAACTACACTAGCTTAATCAAATCTGAATAGGAATCCAAATCCTTTTAAAGTTGTTATTAAAATATTATATAGCATTTATAGACGAAAAATCATTGAAATCAGAAGAGAACAGCTGAAGAGAGTTCGACGGCATTATCTTCTGACACTTTTAACATTACCATCTAGACAATAAATGTCCGTCGGAAATAATCAAGCTGATTTTGTAAGTCTGGAAATCAAGTATATTTCTAATAAATTTTACTTCTATCATGAATGGTCTTTTCGGTCGTTGAAACATATTCAAACTTTATATTCGGAATTTTTAATCTATGGATTTCACACATTACGTGAACATATGCTCGAAAATAGTGCAAAATTTTGATTCTAACCTAATGTTTTAAATTTTCTCATGACTCCTTTAATCGATTGACAAATAAAGGAAAATATAGGTCATTACCATTTGTTTCCTCATATCTCTGAATTTAGTCCCTAACAACGATGCAATGTCTCCGTTTGACTGCTCCTATCTAAATTCTTCTTATTTTCATGCATTGATTATTGAATAAATATTATCATGTTTCCTTTTCTGCCTTCAGCTGTTGTCTTTTTTTTAATTATATATTCAATTTATTCTCCATCTATTTTCCATCAATTTATTCGAATCGAAACTCATGTTGACATCTTTAAGTGCTTAAATTAACCACATAATGGAAAGAAACCGAAGACACAATTGAGCGTAAATTCATTCGTATAATATACAAAAAAAAAATAAATTCAAGTTTTGAATCTATCCTAAAGAAAGAAAACAGAAAAAATATTAATTAATTATTTTTTACAATATAATCAAATGACAAAGTTTATTTTGTATAATGGTAATAATTCTATTAATGATATAATGTCAAAACGATCCCATATTATAACTAAAAGTTTAAATAGTAATTCTATTTTAAAATCTTTAAGTATTAATTTAACAATCAATGAAGTATTTATTAGTTACTTTTGTTTTCGGATGAAATAAAACATACATTTATAAATAAACTTATATGGTATCATTATGCTTTCAGATTGATCAATATACAAACACGAACAATTATTTATCCAACACTACTTGTATGTATTACTCAATCGGTAGCAATTATTGAGTAAGTCGCTGTAAATTTCTTGATGTTAGATTTTTATTTATAAACGTGATAATGAAAAAAAATTTCAAATGAATTAACATTCATAAAAAAAATCCAATAAATGAATTTTAAATAATAATAGCAAGTTAATTATCACGCAGTATATCAATTGTGAATTCTATTCCGAATGGTTTTTCTCTATTACCATTGCTACTTTATTCAAAAAACTATTGCACATTCGTCAACAACGGTAGTGATATAATATAAACTAAATGAAAAATTATAACGCGATGAATTGTAACATTACACATTTATTGCTTCATTAAAATATATGATAGATTGATCTAGAAAATGGATGATGTCTATCGTTGTCCATGCCATATCAATTCAAAATATTCAGCATTTTAGATAGCACTATAGTGTATGCTCTAAAGTGCCATCAACAGATTATTTATCCAACATATGAAGTGCTTAAACAAAAATGTTATTAAACATTTGTAAAGTAATCTTACTTGATAAGAGTCTTTATTGTTTCTTTTAGTTCTACTTTTACAATAAATTATACACTCTAAAATGCAGTGAATTTGATAAAATTATATAGGTGCCATAATTGTTATAAATGAAATCTTATGTTAATGTGTAACTGATTTATTTATTTATTGAAAGTTATTTTTTTAAAATTAATTCTTAAAATAAAATATCTTTATAAAAAGAAGAAATATATATATATATCTATATAAATAAAAGTCTGTTTATTTATATCGTTTTGATAAAATTCCTCGTCCAGCATTATGAGCTGATTTAATATTCATACTAGTATGTTTTTTTATCATATTACGTGAATTACTTGACATACTTTGACTTTGAGCTTCATTAATTTTTTTACGTTCTTGTTGATGTTGTCGTCGTTTAAGTAAAACTGATGTTAAACGAACAATAGCACTTTTAGGTTGTTCATTATGATGTTTATCTTTTTTTACGTCTTGAATATTATCATTATAGGTTTTTCGATATCTTAATGTTTGTTGATCCCAATAGAATTCAATACCATTAACTTCAAAATGTGCAAGACGTTTACCAACAGGACGAAAATGTTTTATTGGATCAACAACATCATTATAACGTAAATAATCAAGATGTTGATCTGATAATAAACGATAGGTTTTTTTTAAATCATTAATTTTTTCTGTATAAAATTTTCCAATTGTTTGAGATATTTTTGCACGACATAATTGTTTAAGACGAAATGGATTTGTAAACATACGTTGTAATTCATTTTGAACATTTTTTAAACGATATAATGCATTTGGATATTGTCGTTTACGTATCCAATGTTGATTTATCCATTGTGGTTGCATATTTAGTAAAAGAAACATTAAATTAACTAAACCTTCAT